GGGGGGGGGAGAGTCGGGCAGTGCCGTGTACACACCAGAAGAGGCGGTTAGACGAGATGGGAGGTTTGTTTTGGGGCTCCAAATCCTGTGGGCCGGTCTCCCACCTCTGTCTGTAAACTCAGCAACATCATAGGAAGTGTCATGGAAGTTCCATGTAAATGATATCAAGCGCCGGCTGAGCGGTTCTGGTCTCTGGGTTCAGTTCTGGGCGGCCCAGATAGTCCTCCATTTTGACCAGCCTCGTGTTTTCGCTGTGTTTTTTTTTTTTTTTTTTTCCTCTCATGAAGAGCAGCAGAGGGCACATTGATGTCCCTGACTCTGCTGCTGCTGCTGCTGCCCCGAGCCTCGCTTCTTTTCCAAAACAACACAGCATCTGCTGCCAGCTACTCCACATTCCAGGTTTCCATGGATGCCAAGTCAAGCCTCTGTGCTCAACGTATGGAAAATGTGATGCGCGCTGCCACAGACCCGCCAGGGTCACAGGTCGCACAATAGGAAGAGCCGTTTCTCGCCACTTTTGAAGTGTCAAAAGCAGGATGACGTCTCCTCTGTTTTTAGCCGTTAGCGAGAGGGTGACACATCAAAAAAAGAAATATTTGTCATTGGGGCCGTCGAAAGGTCTCGAGTACAGCTTTCACTGACTATAAAAGTTAATTTGATCAAATACCACAAACATAAAGGATGTGGACATGTTCAGGAAGCTGCAGCAGAGCTTTGGTTCTGGTAGAAGTTGCAGTTCCTGGTGATCACTGCAGCCCTCTGCTTTGCTAATTCTGCAAACTCGAGATGCGTGGATCAGGTTTTTCCTACCCTTTACCATTTTCCGATTTTTTTTCTCTAACACTTCAGCCACCTCTACCTTTTTGACTCATTCCTATTTTTTCTTAAAAAAAAAAACAAACAAAAAAAACCCCACAAACACATAAAAGAGATCAAATGTAGCCTTAAAGATAACTGATAAAGGGATTATAAGATTACTCACATTTATGCGTTAAAGCAGCGAAGCCCAAACTTACTTATGCACTTTTCAGATTTATGTTTAAAGTAATATTTTAATTTTACTAACATGTTTATTCTTACGGGAAGTGACATTAACATTTCGGAGCTGCCCAGTCAGACTACAGACTTGAATCTGACAGGGAATCTGTGAAGGGAGCTAAAGATTAGGGTGATTACTCTGAGGCCTTCCCACATCAAAAAC